TATATCAAATGCAAGGATGATTATTGTTATATTTATTAGTTTGGAATTATAAAACTACAGAATTATGAGTTTCAGTAAGAAACCCAAGGTAGATGTGCAAAATAGAGCACGTTGGAGCTGTGGTTCAAGAGAAACATTTTCCAAAACGTTATCATTATTTTATTCATTCATAGGGCTATTAAATTATATGCTTTTTAATTCACTTATTTATTTCACTTTCATTGTTTACTCTGGATTTAATGGTTATTCTTGCATTTATGTACTTTATTGATAAAAGTGTTTCTTTGTTTTAAAGTTTGTATGAATTTTTCCATTGCCTGTTTAAAGTTTGCATTGTAACTAAAATAATGAAACAGAGTAATAGAGTTCTGCAATTTAAAACATAGAAATTCTATATGATTCTTCCGGGTTATGTTTCTGGAAGGGAACCACAAAAATATTGTTTATGCTGCCCGCAGACGTTTCTCAAATCTGGCATCCAGCCCTCAGCAGCCAAAAGGGTGGACCGCCCTGGTTTAGATTAATAATAATAATAATCCTTGTATTTGATATAGAGCCTTATCACATTTTCAAGACGTTTCAAAGCGCTTCACAGAATATATTGTAAAGCGAAGTGACTGTATATTTTGTAGGAAAAGCGGCAGCCAATTGCACACAGCAGTGTCCCACACATAGTTGTGGATTGAGTGACCAAATTATTATCGTTTTTTTAAGGGATTATTATCCATGGATTGATCCACCAATCTACTAACAACCGGGATACTACTTACTGCTAGGTAAGCAGAGGTGTTTGGAGTAAGGAAACTTGCCCAAAGTTTCGCACTCAGCAGGAATCAAACCCAGATCCTCTCGCTTGCGAGGCGAGCGCTCTAACCACTAAACTACAGGACTCCATATTTAGGACAGACAAAAATCAAGAAGGTTTCTTGCCACAGCAAGAAGGGTTGCTCCTGTACACTTTCTCAAACAGAGCTTCCTGGGTAATTAAAGGATCATCTTAGAATCTCTACTTCAACACTTCCAGACTGGTTTCACTTATAAATGGTAAAAGTGAGAAATTAGATAACAATTAACAGATTATAGCAAATGGGCAGATTTTCTCAACCAATAAACTCTAAATCCACAGTCTGCAGCACCCTATGTTTGCAGAGGATTGACTTGCTAAACATAAAGAGGAACATTGCAGGCTTCACACTAACTTCAGTGGCATAGTAACGTCAGAGGCACAGTAGACTTTGGATCTTCAATTGACAGATTCTATAGTTATATTGTTCTATAGTTTTATTGTTCGTTTGATCAGATGACTTATTTGTATCTTGTTTTATATCCACAGATCTTCCTCCTCTGTGAAACATGTCACACAAAGGAGTTCTTTCTGATCTTCCCATACATGAGGGAAAAGGGAACACAGTTGATAGAAGAGAGAAATGGGAAGGGTGAATGCTTGTGTAGAGAATAATTACCAGCATGGATTAACTGGGATGAATGGCCTGCTTCTATGCTATATCACTCTATGGAATTCAATAACATTTCAATGCCTTTACTGTTTAAAACCATCCGTTTAAATGTCCAGCGCCACTCCATCATTGATTTATCAGGAAGTGCAATAAAACAACAATTATTAAAGCATAACACATTAAGGTTATTGTAGTTCCAAATAAAATTATTCCGATGGCTCCTTAAACCACACTTTGAATTGCATCAAGATCAATATGGTATCTTTTTTTTCTTTTCTGTGCAATTCAAGTCAGAAATATAGGATTTCCATTAAATTAAACAGAAAGGCCTCCTAAGAGGGCCAGTCAGACCTGAAATATTCATCCATAGGCCTGTGTAACAAATATGAGAAACTGTCTTTTGGCTGTATTGCAAAGGATTAGCTAATTATACATTCGTAAGTACAGCTGATCTGTTGGTTTTCATATAATCTTTCCTGGGATCACAATACATTGATGCTCAAGTGTAAGAGCATAAATACTGTTGAAACTAAGTAGCCATAATTTAACATTCAATGGAAGGTTATCACTATCTTGAATGATTATTGTAAGAGAAGATCAAGAAGAATGTTTTAAACACAATGCTTTTTGAGGCACTGGATACTGGTGGCTCAATATCAAATTTGTGTTTTTAAAACAATACAAATGAGAATAATTGTAATATTCTTTATTCTACTGATAGCATTAGAGAGAAAAGATAAGTGCTTCCAAGACACAGTACTTCAGTCATAATTGTGCATCACTGGGTAAGTCATGAAATAGTTCTACCATCTTCAGGAATTCTTTGGTTCAAATTAGCCTTTAGATTTTTCAGTTATAAGATTTATCTAAGACTCAGTTTTCCCAGTACATAATATTTGTGCTAAACATATTTTGTCTTTAGTTTAATTGGAAAAGCACTCTGCTGGATCTAAATACTTCTGCCTTCAGGGAGAGACTTGAAATGTAACAGGAAACTACAAAACAAGATACTAATTGTTAAAGGCAAGTTGTCAAGTCCTTTGTTGAACTTGCCTATGCATAACACTGAATTCTACAAAATGCATTTCTAGTTTATAGGACCAAACATCAGTTTGTTTGAATTATGCAAACACCTTAAAACAAGGAAAAATCTGAAAGACCTTTCGAATTTCATCAGCATGTCAGTCACTCAGTCACTTGAAACTGTTTAAATATAGGGAGGTGGGGGGAGAAAATGGATGTTTATGTGAGTAGGAGTTATTCAAAAGCATTTTATATAGTCAAAGACTCCTACTGTTTCACTATTCTAGACATGGAGTCAATAGCCTATGGGAGATGATTTAATTTTAGAGGTTAAAGCAGTGCTTCAAGATTGTCTAACTGTGCAAGTCCAGATCAACATCAAAGAATCCTCACTACTGTTCCCAACACTGTTTCTGGTTTTCTGATATCTATATTACAATATTGTGGCACCACATGTCATTATTTGCTGCTGATCGGGTGTCCAGACATTAGCTTGAAAGACATTTCCTATTTTACTCATCAATCCAATTCACTCCCAAGTGGTCTGATGTATGTGCTGCCACCCTGGGAGGAAATTTTAGTCTGTGACATTGCAATTCATCTCCTCAAAGTAGATTCTGTGCTTCCTTTCTGGTGCAGACTTGGATCTCTTTTTCAAATAAATCTGCTTCCAGGTGCATCAAAGCATAACAATAATAATAATCCTTGAATTTGATAGTGCACCTCATCACATTGCTTGGACATCCTCATCATATTGTAAAGTGAATTGACTGTATTTTGTGGGCGAAACGTGGCAATCAATTGCGCACAGCAGTGTCCCGCAAACAGCCATGAATTGATTGACCAATTTTTTTTTGAGGGCTTATTATCCCCGGAAAGCTATCCGCCAATCGACTAAGAACCAGGATCCTACCTACAACTGGGTAAACAGAGTCTTGGGCAATAAGGAAACTTGCCTAAGGTTTTCGCCCGACCGGGAATTGAACTTGGGTCCTCTTACTTGCGTGGCGAGCTCTCTAACCACTATGCTATGGGACACCCAAAGTTCTGAAACCAAGCACTTGAACAATGTGCAACCTTGGTCCTGTACAGCTGGGAATGTTTTACTGCTAGGGTAGATATTCCAAGGAGACACTCTAGTATGGTGTAATGAGGCTGCTCATCCGGAGAAAATGATAACATAAAATAACAGTTGGTTAAAGCACAAAAACAGAACATTCAGTCCAACTGATGTTTATATTCCATCGCCCCTCAGCCCCTCTCCCATACCCCCCTATTCCCTACTCCCTTATATATGCATTGAGTTTCCTCTTAAGTACAATGATGCTTTCTCCTTCAACCAGCTTCCAGCAGCAAATTTCACATTCTCAGCACAGTCAGCGAAGCTCCCCCAGAATTATTTTTTTTAGATCTGCTGCTGCTTATCCTATATTGATGTTCTCTTGTTTTTAACTCACCAACAAGTGGAAACACCCCATATCATACATCTTATCGAATCCTTTTAACACCAAATGCTAAAATTCCAGTTTAGCTGTGCCCCCAGCTCGGGTCCGAAACACTGATTGTCCAGCACTTTGGGACATCCTCCTGACGTGAAAGTTGTGATGCAAATATAATTTTGTTGTTGCTGCCCTTGCTTCACAAACGTATGAACTTAGACACTTGTTTTTGTGATTGAATTAATGAACTTTGTTATGAACTTGTTATGTGTGACTGAATTAATCAAGTACTGAGGTTATTGCTCATTCTACAGGTGAAAATTTGGAACATTCCTTAAAGTATTCAGAATGACTCTATATTTATAAGCAAATGGTGCAGTCAGTTAACAATGTCCCACAAGTGGCCATTGAAGTGAATAATCTATTTTATTTGAGGATTATTGGCTAATAGAATCCAAAATGTTGATGCAAATTTTAGAAACAGGTTTTGCAGTAAACAATGATGCTCACTGTCAAACATATCGATTGTGAAATTTAGGCTTGTATCACAATGTTTGGCCAGTTGTTAATTGTCACCAACAATAATTGCCAGTGACTAATTTGACATTGAATGTTGCCTTTTGCACCCTTGATTTCAAAGCCCTCTTAAACACATAAAATAAGGGTTAACTGCAATAATATTGGAGCAAATCTAGGCTGGTTCATATTTTAAAAGACGCTTAAAATTGTACAAAAGGCTGTGCATTCCATCAAATGCTCAAATACTCCTTCCTTTGAAAAGAGATGCCTAGAGTTTGACTGGGATTGAATGTAAATATTTTACTGTGTACACTAAGTGACTTTTTAAGGCTACCCTCCAGCAATTATCCAAGTCAGATTTGGATGTCAAGTGTCATAAAGACTTCAACCTATTTGGTGCTTGAAGTAGTGTATCATCAATCCACTCAGTGTATTAACGTCTAGTCCATTACCATGCAAATTGTTTACTCTGCTTTTAGATTACTTTCTATTGATCAGACAGCAGACTATTAACATGCACTTTGCCAGTGGAAAATTCCTCAATAAAGGGTTGTGTTTTTACCTTCTGTTTTATGATCATGTCATTGATTTCTTCGACATCCCCTACTGTCACAATCTGAGATTTGATCACACGATCCAGCAAAGAGAGCCAGTCTGTCAATTCCACCCAGGCCTTGTTGAAGTCAGTCAGCGCTGGCACTTCCATGAGTAAAGAGGATGGCATTTCTAGCTTGGTAAAGGAGGTTTCTGTGGTAACTAGTGTCTGTGTCACAACAGTTTGCTGTTTGGTTGAACCTGAAAGGAAAACATTATGGACATGAGTCAATGCAAGACTTAATGAATCATTCATGCAAAACTTAATGAATAACCCCCCGGCTAATCAGATTCCAGGTATCCAGAATTTGTACCTAACCAGCCAGAGCCCCGCACTAAAAATGTTTTTAAAATTATTTCTGTGGGCCCGTGCACATGCAGACCTCCACCAGCCAATGCCTGTAGCACGCGCCAATGCCGAGCTGAGCTGCATCACCATCCTTGCTGACCTCCACAGTTACCAGGGATAGTGACTTTGACTCAAATTGTTTGAATCCTGTGAGCAGAAGCTAACTTATTTGCTATCTTCTGCTTGTGGGATTCAAACAATTACAAAATTGGTAAATTCTAGAACTGGCATTGCAATTATACTAAGCCAGAAATTGTGGCTCACTGGACCGGATCTCCACTCATTAGTCCACTTAGCCAGAGTTTCAGTGTTTACTGAATCCTAAAATGGGAGATTCACAACCTGGATTTGCAAAGGATTTATAAATATTGAATCCTACCAGTAACTGGATAGGTTTCACAGCATTAATGGTAACTCCATTCCAACACAATACCATCTGGTCACATTGAAACATAAGTCCTGGCAAATGTATTACACATCCAGTTGCTGACAGGATTTAATATTTACAAATCTCTTGGGAATATTTAATTTCTGCAGCAATACAATAAAAGTTATATCACCCAAACAAATGCTTCATAATGGATGAACATTATAAAAGTGTAACAGTTATAAACTATTTAGAAATTCTAAAAAGGCTGCTTGTTTAAGGAGTGCTTGATCCCACTTTTGTGCACTTAAAGTATTTCAATATATTGACATGTATCAGTGCACGGTGATCCTGTTAAAGCACAATCATCTGGGTCCACAATCTCAGGCTTGAGTTTCAAGCGAAGTGTGAACAAATGGTTAACTTCCAGGTTGAGAGATTGCCACTGAAGTCACTTCCTGTGCACTGCACACTAACGCAGGAAGACAAATATTTGTTTAACATGGGAAGCTAACTGACTGGTCAGTGCTCGAAGAGGTGTAGGGGGTGTTATAACAGAGTTGGCCTATTTAATGAACAGAAGTTAAAATAAAGCAAATCATGAAACAACACCCGTGCAAATGAACTGTAGCAGCTGCCCAGGAGTTTCTTAGCAAGGTACATAAGAACATAAGGTCATATCAAAGGAGAAAAGGTAATTTGCCCTAAAACACCAAAAAAAAACATTGGATGCTGCTATTTAACCAGGAGAGGGATCAAGTGAATGCCTTCCTGCCATTAGTACCATGAGATGTTGTTGCTGCCCTTAACTCATACCAGCCAAACTCTAATGTAATATAAATTTATTTTGTTTCTTAAGAGTGTGGACCTTATTAAGCTTGTTGAATCTCCAGGTGGTTAAGAGTTACATGACAGGATCAAGAGTATAACGAATAGAGAACCAAATAATTCTGCAGTGTGTGATGCAGTTAGACACTCCAGTGGTCCCAATGATTTGTTTCAGAGTAAACCTATTACATCTACCAAATAAACAAGAGTAAGACAGATATCTAGCACAGTACTGGGCCTGACAGAGAAACAATTTAGTCTTAATAAGGTTTAGCTTCTGTTGTGTATTACTGGACCCTGAAGTGGAAGGAAACAGTGGTAGCTTTTAAGCTTCTTTTCTTAATAAATTTTGCTGAATCCGAAGGTAATAACTATATATATAAATAACTCCGGAGAGCATGGAACATGCTGTGTATCTGTCTCTATTCATACCAATTCTATTCATACTACAATTCATCAGAGATATTCTCTCTGGAACATTCCAGCCAATTGGCTCCACAGCTGCTTAAGATGCCAAAACATTTAACACAGAACCAGGCATTCAGACAAAGAAATCTTTTCCCTTTTTAAGATAGTTTATGCTTGTGTTGTAGAACTTTATTAAGCCTTTTAATGGCTTGTAGTTGTAACACAGTACTTGACTCACTAATTTTGTGCTGCATTTTCAATTAAATAATATAAACAGTCTGGTTAGAGATAGCTGATCGAGCTCCAGTAATTATAGTAAAAATAGTAATTAGCCAGGTATATATGCCATCATTGGTCTTTAAAGTGATCACTCAATAGGATTTTACTCTGGTTTGTCATGTTATAATCAGAAACATGCTGGCAATATCATCCATTGTTTTATTTATTGTGGCATGGACCAATTTGACCTGTAGAAATTTACAGCACAGAAAACAGCCATTGTCTCTCTCTGTCTCAAGCCCTCCACCTTGCCCCCTTCCTTGCCTGTCTTCAGATCAACCAACCCCTACAGTCACCTCCCTTCTCTCCCTGGCTTGGTGTCAAACTCTACCACTGTTAAACGTTCTGAGACTCTACCCCATGTGAAGGGTGTTATATAAATGCAAGTTGTTGTTGTTGTCTCTGCTCATATTTGCCCATTGTGGCAAATACATTTTAGTCCACTAGACAGAAGTGACTTTCGGTCCACTGACTATCCCAAAAATAATTGCCACAGTGGCAAGAAATCTTCCTAGTAGGTTATGCAAGCACAGAGCAAATATTATTCGACTGGCAATGTATAATTACATTCTCAAAGATGACTTTAATGAAATGGATAACAAGATCAATTTTACAGTATTCTTAATGGATTTCTTAATTAAGAACTGAGAGTGGGGACTCCTTTTAAACTGAAAATACTTCACACACATTATTCCTGAAGAGAAATCCATTCCGAAAATAGATTCAGTTGGAACAGGAATCCTGTGAACTATTATCACGGACATTCAAATTTCTTAAGAAATCTACTCTACATTAATATTTCTCCAAGGTTTAAAAGTGCTGTATATAAAGCCAAAGGTTTCAAATGGTTTTAAGGACCAATCTCTATGGGTAAATGACAGCACCAAGACTTCTTCTCCCTCCTCCAATGAGAAACAGAATACAAATGACATTTTCATATTACATTAAATTCAGTATTATTCTTGAGGAATAGGATCTTGTTTTCGCCTTGGTCCTTTTCCTTAATAACCTCAGTCATTTTCACACCACACATCCCGAATAACCCCAGAAAATTCCTCATGTAATGTGGTGGTAGCAAAGTGAAACTGAAAGCTTTATTACAAGTTTGTCTTTCAGCTTGTGTCCCACATTAGAGGAATTGAAAAATAAATCCCCATACTGGGCCCTAACCTTGAAAAAAACTCTGAACAAATGTACATGATTCAATTCAGTCTCTTGCTATTTGATGTTAAATATGCACTGCATCAGCACAGAAAATCCTGCAGCATGGTTAAACGGAAATGATTGCTCTTTTCATTCACGTTGCCTATACTGGGTTCAACTTACTACTGTCACTTTCAGTCTCACCGTATTAAATATGCTTGCCCTTCAAAATTCATTTGTTAAAACAGCCCCCATCCAATTCACTTTTCATTTCACTTTGTTGTTTTTGTTCCCAACAACTGTCATTTTTATGTAAAGCTTTCAAGCACCTTGTCAAGTCACTCACATTCAATTCCTGTATTCTCAATCCACAGAGAAGACATGCTGCAGTAAAGGACATGTCTTGCTTTAAGGTACAATAGCGTCCTTTCATTTTTCATTTAGCTTTTCTCCTCCATCACTCCTCTATAATAGGTACTAATTTAAGATGGGTACCGTTTAATTGGTGCAAACTGCCCCGATAACCTCACCCAAACACCCTTTCCCCGACAGTCACACATGAATGTTTATTAGTAGAGATCACTACACAGTGGTCCTGTGCGCTGTACAGGTGGTGTGATCCCAGGACCAACACATTCACAATATTCCTATAACGTAAAATTTATGAAATCATTTTTATAAATATTGGAAAGAACCCAAGTGAACAGTGAGGTCTGCTCACTTTGTGGTTTGCTCCAAATTGTTGTAAAAAGCTGTAAACCCACCAACCAGCAGCCAAACGTCCATTCTGAATGCATCATACTGCTTCACATGGGGACTGAGAATTAGGATGGGAGTGGAAGGAGCGAGATCCGCCTCTAGCACACGGGAGTTCATTTGTAATGCATGCAATGCAAATTTCAAAATTTAACCTGAAAATTATTCTGAGGTATCAATGCACTCATTTTCCAATGCACATAATGGCTTAGCGCTAATATGGTTGGGCTATGTTAATTGGGAGTAGGTCATTGTCCACTCCCAATTAACAATCCACTCTCAATTTTACTTAAACCCCTGTTGGCTCTGGTTTTTCAAAACCGGACAATAACAACAAAATTACATTTATATAGCGCCTTTCACATCAGCAGGATGTCCCAAGGTGCTGAATAGTCAGGTGTCGGGACCCGAGCATGGAGGAGGGGTGGTGTAAGGGTGAGGGAAGGCAGAGAGGTGGGAGGGCGACCAAAGGCACGATCAAAGAGAAGGGTCTTGAGACCGGCCTTGAAGGAGGCAAGGGAGAAAGCAAGGCGAAGGGACCATGGGATGGAGTTCCAGAGTGTGGGGGCAGAGAGGTTGAAAGCACGGCCACCGATGGTAGGACGGGTAATATGGAGCAGGCTGGAGCCCGATGAACAGAGGGAGCGGGCAGGTTGGTAGGGAGTCAGCAGGTCAGAGAGGTAGGAGGGGGCAAGGCCATGGATGGCCTTAAAGGTGAGGAAGAGGATCTTGAACTCGATCCTCTGGGGGATGGGGAGCCAGTGGAGTCGGGCGAGGGTGGGAGTGATGGGGTCATGGAGCCTGTGTGCCTCTTCCCTTTGTTGTTATCAAATCACCAGCAACGTATCTGTCAGAAGCTGTTTGCCTCCTTGTCACGGATGGACTCATGTCTTTTACAAATAAAAATTCAGATATTCGGAGAGGTGGGATGCAAATAATTTTTTTTTTTACATCAGCCAGCTTCTCTGTTTTTGGCCAGAAGTGCATTTTGGTCTCTGCACTGATGACATTATAGATTCATGCTTTGAAAAGCATGAATACTGCCAGCTACAAGTTCAGTGATTTAAATCA